ACCTTCCATCCCTCCGAGATGGGTAAAATGAGGACCCAGATTGTTGGGGGCAAGAGGCTGACTCTGTAAACCGCTTAGAGAGGGCTGAAAGCCCTTTGAAGCGGTATATAAGTCTAACTGCTATTGCTATTGCTATAAGGGTTGTTTTTTTGTCTTTTCAAAGGCAACAGGAAAACTAAAAATGACGGCAGATCATATCACTAGAAAAAACAGTATTTTGGTGCATGTTGAATATGTTTACCTGCCCCCTCTCCCAGTGGGTTAAAACAGCATCCACATATTATTTAGATTCAATCATTCTTTCAGCCAAATTGTAATTTGTATAATCCATCCAGCTGGGAATAACAATAGCACTTAGACTTATATACCGCTTTACAGCCCTCTCTAAGTGGTTTACAGAGTCAGCATATTGCCCCCAACAATCTGGGTCCTCATTTTACCCATCTCGGAAGGATGGAAGGCTGAGTCAAACGTACCTTATGTATACAGTTGTCATGGTACTCACCAAACCACTTTATAATTGACAGAAGACTATAAACAAGATATATACACATTAAAAACGTGTACAATTCTTTCCAAATAAAATTGCTCATTTATTGCTAGGGATGTAGTTTGAGCAAATATTTTTCCTTATAATTTGATGCTTTTTGTTTTTGCCTTGGAGATTGTGAGGACATGGACAAAGTGTATAAGGATAAGGCCTATTCCGTTTACCTGACCCTTACTCCTCTTCACTGACTAAAATGTCTATATCCAATATTTAAAGGATCACATCAGTGTCTCATTATGAGAGGGATATACTCTCCATGTGTTCCCAAGTGCCCCTTTTTTGGGCTGGTAGTGGAATCACTAGTTTTTAAAGAGTAAATGATTGTCTTGAGACATGAAAGACCCTTGGACAAGTCTGGGGCAAAGGAAAATAATAGCTTGTAGGTCTTGAATCGATTTCTTACCAATCAAATGCTGTCCGAAAGAATAAACAGTAACAGCATGAGAAATTTCTTTCCTGAAAACACATTTTATTTATATTGTGTTCTGCACTGGATGACGGGCCAACCACAATCAAAATTAACACGTTAAAAACTATCAACAGTTAAAATATCCATAACTCCCCCCCACCCCCAAAGTGGTCAAAGGTGTCTCTAATCTGGTGCAGCCATTTTTGCTGGGTCTATCACTGCCTCCCTAATGCCTCCTGAATGCTAGTTATCCTATCTATCTAAACCAACTCCGGCACACTACCAAACTATCCAAACCATACTAAAATATGTCCAACTTTCTGACACTTTTAACATTATTTGAAACACTATCGTTAGTGGAGAAGGAATAAAAAATACATTGCTTACCAGTGGGAAGTTGCTTATAATAATAAATTACAGGATGCAGGAAGTTAGACTGCCAAGCGTGCTCTGGTTCTCCTACTGCACGGTTATAGTAGAAGACATCCTTGTCAGGGCCAGAGAAGTTCTTTCCATACTCCATCACAATGACAAAAAGTCCATCCTGCACCTTTCTTCCTGTGCGCCACTCCAGATCTTGTAGGACTCCAACTGGATACTCCTCCAGATATTCAAATTTTGTAGCATTCCTAGGACCAATCAAAACAAATCCATTTCAAATACAACAAGGCAAATTGGCTAATACTGGTGTGCTCAGTTTAACTAACTGCAAATATTTTTTAAAAAATGGGATTGCATTTTTTACCATAACTAATTTAGCATTTGGAATTAATTTTAAATTCTGCTTTACTCCATGATTATCAAGCATTAGCTATGGTGGTACCCTTAGCTAAACTCTGTACTCCCAAGAGATCTGACTACTGTCAATTGTATCTTCACGACCTAAGGATTAGAGTATTGGAATATATATTATGAGGAACAGTTTGTAACATACAGAAAAACCTTGATTATGCTCTTGCTTGAATTATCTTTAGTTCACTCCCTTAATTTTGAATTTGGCTGAGCAAAAATGTGTGACTAGAAAGAATCTCACTATATAAACAAACCTTTGCACTGATACATTCTTCTCAAAGGAATAGTTTTAGAGCAATCCTCTTTAGAATTAAGGAATGTTAATAATAAAAGAATCAAAGTAACATGATTAACAACTAAAATTAAAGACCGTACTAAATACTAAATATAGTAATATACCAAATATAGTAAGGATTGGTGCTTTGGATCTATCATTTAATTCTCCAATCTACCTTACAGGATTGTTATGGGTAGAATCTATTATTGGGGGAATAGAAAACTACTTATATGGATTTCTTTTTTCTGCTACGCGGGTCTTGTGCCTCTCAGGATCTGCTTTCCAGATCTCCTTTTACAGCAGAGGTCCCCAACCCCTGGGCCGTAGCTCCCTACCGGGCTGTGGGGCCTATTTGGAACTGAGCTATGCGAGAGGTAGGCCAGTGCACACATGCGTGAGTTCTATTCACATGAGCTGCGGGCTGGGTGCACGCAGCTCCACTCATGCAAGTGGCAGGCCAATGTGCGTGTATATATGTAGCTCCATTGTTCACGCGGCCTGGTTCCCCTCCCTCTCTGCTCAGTGGGGCCACCAAGCCACAAAGGTTGGTGACTGCTGCTTTAGAGCAAGCTTGGAGGACTCATAGTATCATGAAAGTAGCGGAAAAGGGAAAGGAAGAAAAGAATGAGTTCCCTTCTTGGTTATGCTTGGCAGAAGTTCTACTCATAGGAATTAACCAATTCCATTCACTGATTCTAAAGGAGAAAACCCCCTGAGTATCATTACTCACTCACTCTTTCAGCAAAATGATGTCTGCCAACACACTAAACATCTGATAGAGCCCAGATGCCTCATTCACCCGCTTGACAATAGCATTTGTTAACTGCACTACAGGATAGTTGGAGGCTGGCCAGGGCACTTTGTGGTGACGGACTTCTAGTAAGCGATGAACTGCACGGGCTGCATAATGGGGGAAGAACAAAACAGGCAGATATTATCATTTAATATTACATGCTAAGAGAACTGCCCTAATAATAAGACTACTGAAATATGCAACAAGTGAGTTTTGGGTTGCAGCCAAAAAGCTTACAACTATTTGGCATAGTTTCACACTATAGCAGCCAGAAGAAAAACATGGATTAATGCTGTTACTACATTATTCTTTGACTGTCCCACTGTCTTGAAAGTACAAATTCAGATTTTTGAGTGTTTATTGGCTTTCACATCTGATAGATTTAGTAATATCACAACCATTGTTGGGGAGTCATTCTAAAAACTGATGGATGCCAGAAACTGTAGCTTAAAATTACCTGGAGAACCACAAATATTTTCTGATGGATATAGAAAATACTTTTCTTTGTAGAAATAATGAGAAAGATCAGAGAAAATTTGATACAGTGGGGTAGCTGTTGTAAATGTATTTACCTGAATGTTATTTTTCCTTTCCTATCCATTTTCTCTTACGGCATATTGAAATTGTAATTTAAATATTTTTATAATACATAAAAAAGCATTTGGCAGTGTAATGCTTATATGTTGCATAATCAATTGGCTTTTAAAGCTGAATTTTTAGTTGTGTTCTTCACTTGCATTTGCTATTTTCATCAATGGGTACAATAGAAAAAGTATTGCTGAAAAAACACAGTATGTTATTTCTGTTGATAAATGGAATAATTTGCTTAAAAGAAAAAAAAAGATATGGGCCTCAAATGCCAGAACATCATCACTGCTGAGCTTGTTCACATTCACTTTCTCCCCATGTCCAAAACTCACCGGTGTATCGGAAGCCATGAATAAAACCACCAGCAGATTTCCTAAAATCCACCGAGTGGCTTGCAGTTCCGAGAAGAAAGAGACCTCGAGTAGCTTTGGCTTCATAGCTGGCCTTGATCAAAGGATACTTCTTCTTACTGCCTTTGCCACGCATCAAACCAACAGACCTGGGGATGGGGGTGGGGGTGGAGAAAGAAACGCATGGAGAATAGTCTGGCTGACTACACAGATTTTAATAAAAGGGGCAGTGTATGAGCTTTGATCTTGAGACTATATACATGTTAAAAGGCTCAGGAAATATCCCTTTCCCAACAAAACTTTTCCTTGGCATAAGGCAATTATCTTAAAGTATGTTTAAGACAGATAATATCAACAGTGTTACTTTGGGCATCCTTATGCCTGAGCTCAGGGGTGAAATCAACTTACCTTCGCTACTGGTTCGCAAATGTGAGCATGCGTCACCTCCCTGCATGCACAGGACTTTCCGCGCATGCACAGAGCATCAAAAACGGGACGTGATGACGTCCCGGTGGGTGGACAGAGCCTCCCGCCACCACCACTACCGGTTCATCCGAACTGGATAGAACAGGCTGAATTGCATCACTGCTTGAGCTGCAGCTTCTTTACAAGTAGTCCTTGACCTATAACCACAATTAGGGCCAAAATCTCAGTCAGTGAGCAAAGTGGTTGTTAAGCGAGATGCCCATGTGACTGCTTCTCTCAATGACTGCAGTGCTGGCACTCCTGGTTATGGTTGTTAAGTGATCTCTTAGGTTGTAAGTAGACTGTATTCCCTGCCAAAATTCACGCAGGATTTTCAGCACCCAAGTGAATAGATGCGAGTTCAGCCTGCACGAGGCTCCTAGGACATCCCCCACTTGCCTGAGGCAGCCCCCACTCCTTACTTTACCCTGCTGTCCTGTCACTCAGCTTTCAGCTCCCTCTTATTTCTGTGGGCTGGCTGAAAGAGCTGCCTGCCAAAGGAGGGGCTCTGGAGAGCTACAGTTTAATTTCTTGACAACCAGACATATAAGCATATCCATACATTACTCCTTGAAATTAAACAGAATTATGATACAATTATATTTAGATAAGTGCACCCTAACTGCAGAGCTACTGACTTTTTTAAAAGAGAGCAAAGCAAGTTTCATATGTGACACAATAGTCTTGTTCTATTTAAATCATTAAAGCAATAATGAAACTCAATTAATTGTTATCTTAGTTTACACTGAATTAAACAACCAAATGGTGGCATGAAAAAAGAAATAGAAGAACATCTTACTGCTCATGGAGTCTCAGAAGGATAAAAGACAATGTCATGGTAATAGGCAATAAGCACTTTAGTCAAATCTCCAAACCATTTTACTATGGAACTACATTTGCAAATGTGAAATAGATCATTATAAAGTACTGCAAATATTACATTTAATAAAAGATGGGAAAGCATTTTGCATGACATTTTGTTTGACTCGAGGCTCAGAAAATTCCACCCATGCCACATACCTATCTATACATATCAACCCTCCCAAACATTTTATTCCTCTGTCACGTTAGAACCAATCCCATCTTACTTGTTGAATATGGAAAAGTCAAACTTCCAACCCAGGCAGCGAATGGCACGGTCGTAAGGTGCACGAGTGGCAAAGTTATCTAGTTCATCCTGTGGAAGAGTGACAGATTCTGGGTCACTGCTATTGCTGTTTTCCAAGTAGAACCGAAGGGTGATGTGCAGCTTTCCTTTTCTGTCTTTGATGAGAACTAAGTCTTCTAGATCACCCTCTATAAGTCCATCCAAAGACTTCAACTGGTATGTATCTAAGAGCCCATTGTTAATTGCTCTAAGGAAGAAAGAAAGAAAAAACAATAGGTGGGATGTAAATTTTACATGCCATATTTATAAACATGGCTGCCACTCATTGTAGCAATTCTAGATTAAATATAGAAGCTCTCTGGCTAGGTATGAAGGAACGTCCTGTGTTGCTACTATGTTCTACTTTGGTTTTAGTATTTTGATGCAGTAAATACTACTTTTGTTTTATTACAAATTATTATATTTTCTTTTGTAAATATACTAGGAAGATGATTAACAAATACAAACAGAATAACTTGTGGAACACCAGAAAGAGTAAGTGAGGGAGCAGGCTTTGTTTTTTTTTTTTTTTTGGGAGGGTCTAAAATCACTTGTTATAATCAAAAAAATTACTTCCTGAATGTACTCACACTAAAAGGTTGTGAATGGCCATCTTTCTGCAGGGTAGGGGCTAGAGTAAAGATGGGTAGATTCTAGTCTTTCTTTAGAAGCTATCTGGGTGACTTTAAAACCTTCTTTCTCAGTCATAAACAGGGAGGTTGAAAAACATAGTCTACCAACCCACACTGGATCAACGTGATAGATTTATGGTCCATAATATTAAATGAAGAGGGCTTCATCATGTAGCAGACTGGTTTGAGATCATCATTATAATCTCAAATCCACAAAATGCCAAGTTTATGTCTTAGCAAAATCAAGCATATCTCACTTACAGGTCTATACTTGCTCACACCATGCTTCTTTCACAAATATTCCATGTCCTGCTCCTTGAAGACCAAAAATAAAAGGCCCACTCTATAACAAGAAGCAGTGACCAAAATGCTTCTACCTGGTCCTTTAAAAAGTTGCTGACCTATTTACTCTAAGTAGCTAAGAGAGGGACAGGCATAAAAAGGGAGATGGGGCTTGGAATGATTGGGCAGAATTGATATCAAACAAAATTGCTGTATATGGACTGGTTGCTAGAGAAAAAGTGGGCAAAATGGGCTATTTGGCCAGTGGTGGGTTGCCATTTACTACTGGTTCGGGCGCGCTCCTGCGTATGGTGGAGCCTCCCGCTGCCACTACTACCAGTCGGCCAATCCGGGCCAAACCAGGAGCAACCCACCTGTTTGGCATATGGCAGCCTGAGCTATTAGTCTACATAACACTCTCCACAATTATCTCAGGTTGGCCTGGCTGTTCTTCTGAAATAATGTTACCTTCTACTCAAGCCAGGATAGAGAGGCAGAGTTAATCTCTGTTTACTGGACCAACCAAGAAGATGTGCCTAATTGCAGGGGTTTTTTTTCAAAATGGCAGAAAACTCATTATTCCAACGTATCTTGAGAGATAAATTCTGAAAAGCATAGTCCTTCCAGAAAATTCCTGATTTCTCTCCTTAACAACTTTTCCTTCAGCATCGTCAAAGGCGTAGGAATCAGTTATTCTTGATATGATCCAAACCAAAAAGCACACTTAATTTAGAAAATGTAGTTATTATTTGAAAGAAAAATAAAGCTGAGTACAATTGAAAGCATATCTTGGACTTCATGAAAGATTTTAATGAACAGAGAATAATAATAAGTAGGATTCTGTTGCTGGAGAAGTTAATAGGAAGAGGAGCTCTAAGTGGGTGTATTACAGACACAACTGGAAGCAATTCCAGCAAGGAAAAAATGCAATGCAGCAGAAGACAATGATATGGCTGCACAAAAGACTTACTAAGAGCCAGAAGCAAGAGAAACTACTGTATATGGAGATGGAATGAGGGACAAATTGCTAAAGAATGGCAATTATATAACAGTCCATATTATAGAAATATTAGAAACGCTTGAATTTAAAATGAATCAAGCTTGATTTAATAAACCAAACGAAAGCATTGCCTCAAATATGTTTAACTTAAACGGAGAGAAAAGAATTGATATAATGGAAAAGATGGCAAAATATTAATAAGCTACAATGAAAAAGCAAAACAATTTGATTTCTAATTTGGTTTCTCTATCAAGAGGGTATGTGTTCCACCAGGCAATTATAAAAAGCACAATAAAGAAGCAGCATTAAGACCAATCAAAACAAGATGGGGAATCTACTTTTCTCTTAATTAGTTTAATTATGTGAGGCCAGATTAATTGAAATTTAGGGTAATAAAGATACTTGAAAATACTATAATGCTTTTTGGAAAGAATTTGTCTTGCTAGACTAAATTTATTTTGTGATCTTTCTTAATATGATAGAGAAATACTGTAGACATGTATCACACAATATTTTGGTTTGGCAGAATATTTGGTAGAATGCCTCAGGATATTCTGATTAGGAACCTAATTAAAACAGCAATGCATCACATCACCTTGAAATGAATATACAGCTATTTCAAAATTCTTATTCAAAGTGTGCTAATCAATAATTTACTGTCAAACTGGAGGAAGAGACCAAGTGGAGGGCAACAAGATTCAAACCTGGGTCCTGAACTCTTCAACATTTTTATTTGGAATTTGGATGAAACACATTGAAAAATATGTATCTTTCATCTCTGAATATATGCAACGGTTCATATGAATATGAAGTCTTACCTCAGATCTCCAACGTAATGAGTAGCCCAAGAAAGACGAACTCGAGATCGGCCTACCATATGCACAAAATTGGTGACACCCAGAATGTTCTCTGCTGTTTCAAAGGCAGAATTTCCCCGACCCAAGATCAATACAGACTGTCCAACAAAATCTTTTGGATTGATTGACACAGATTCGTAACCTTCAACATATTCTGAACCTGGAAAGTTCACCTCGTGAGGAACCCACATACCTGTGGCCACCAAAAGAACACTAAAATAGAGAACAAACATTTTGATTAGGGTCACTTTATATGTCAAAATATCTTTCTCTAATACTGTTTACACGCTTCACAAAATCACCAATCTCAGCAATAAAGTTGTGCACAAAAAACTGTGATTTGTAAAGAGAGAAATCCAAAACCACCAAATTAGCTCTCAGGTAGTTTAGAGTGGGGTAGCCATTTTTACTTATCAATTTAGTGGGAGAGAAAAAGCAAAAGATCATAACTATAGAAATTACCAGAAACAGGCTGAAAAGAACATTTTCATACTGCAGTATATTTTAATGAAGTAAAAATCTATGTTGAGACTACTAAAAGAGTTTGATTAGAAAACAGCTACTATATTTTCCACTGTCTACTTCTAAAAACATTTGATGTAATTATACTGAAAGTTTTGTTACTACAATGACAAACAGGACAAACAAAACCAGAAAGATGCCAAAACAGGCAACACATGATCCCTCATGTTTGAAGCACCTTTAATTAGTAGAAAAGATAAGAGTTCAGTTACAGGTACAAGAAAAGGGAAAAATTTGCTCAGAGGGATAATACAAGACTTTACAAAATTATAAACTATACAGAAAAAGGAAATAACCTTTCTCAATTATGTCACCTACTTAACAGATTTATATGCTTCCCTCTCTCAGTAATCATATAAAGTCTCACTATAGACAAGTCGATAACTCTTGATAATCAAATCTACAAAGTGGCACAAAGTGTCCTACTGAGGAACTCAGTGCACAGGATGGACTGAACAGGAGCAAACAGATCTAACTGTCATTTGAAGCTAAGCCATGCAATGCTTCATATACTACAGCAAGGACCTTGAATTATGTCCCACAAGCAATCAGTGCACTATTTCAACATGAGGATAATGTGGAATCTCCTGGATTGCTCACCATGCCTGTTGCTGCATTTCAGACCAGCTAGACTTTCTGGAATATCTTAGAATAAATCAACCAGCTCACATCTCACTGACAGATCTGACACCTCCAGCAGTGTGTCCATATATTCCCAATGGACGTCTGTAGGGAAAGTTATGTTGGTGAGTGAAGGAATGGGGGAGTGTTTAGGTACCCAGCTATATCTGAAAGAGTCTTTCTGAAATATGCACTGGCATCTAAATTATCTTCAATCCCCAAAAGATGGTTTATGCATGCACGATACTAATAATCAAGAACACCTGCATTTTTACTATGGAAGCTTCCATGCAATATGACATTTTTTATTACCCAGATGAAGTTTTTTCTCTCTTACCTGCATTTGTAATTCTTAGCATTTTGGTCTCTGAGGATGAAGTAATGACCATTCCAAGCCTTGGGATCTTTTTCCAGCATCACCAGTACAATGGATGTGTTATACTGCACATGGAGAGCTAGTTTGGAAGCAAAATCAGCCAGATAATGCACCATAGTATCAGCATCAGGGAAGAAATCCTGAGAGTAGTGCCGAAAAAGCAATTGGTTATTGTGGCTAAGCAATGAGTTCCAATCATGACGAAGGTTGAATTCACTGTTTGATTTGCCAGTGTAACGTTTATTGATGCTGATCAATTTTCGATGACGGGGATACAAGGTGAAAAAGTGCCCTGGTGTATTTCTACGTTCAAAGACAACATAATTCCGACCTGCATGTTGAAGGAAATAGGCCATTTGCAAGCCTGAAGGGCCAGCCCCAATAATACAATAGTCATGGTAGAGAAAGTCATTAGACCAGGAAGAGGCTACAGACAAGGCAAATATAAGCAGAAGTTCTTGCACACACTTCAGAAACGATAGCACCATGTTGCTGGTAAGGTGGCTAACTTTGTTCAAGGCACTTTTGAGAACTGACAAGGCAAGAAAAAGAAACAAACATTCACTGAGATTTTTCACACATAACATTAGACCATGGTTTACTTATATACAGGTTACAGAATATTTATTCAGTGCATATACTGCTTTTCTACTTGCCTAGCTGGATTCTTGTGCAACAATAAGCAATGTACCATGGCTGCCAAATTAGAAGGAACAATTTAGCAAGTTGTGCCAACCCAAACACACCACATTACGGCTTAGTGCTATGTGTGAATCCAGACAGTGTCTATTCCCTCCCCATCCCTCAATCTCTGACGTTTAACCACAAAGTCTTACTCAATTTCATTCCAAGACAGTGGAAAAGGATAACTAAACATCTCTTTTAAAGACTGTATTGTCTTCAAGATCATTGCCTAACTGGAATACAAGACAAAACTGGATTGCTCTGGGCCATTGTGGCAAGCTCACATATGGTCTGTGCAGCCATTCCTCAGGTTCCTGTAAGCACATCTCCTATAATAGTAGATTGTTGGGAGGATAAACACGCAAGGGAGTTATCCATGTCAGCATTGAGATAGAAACAAATCAATTCAGACAAAAACAATCTGAATAGCAATTCCCTTTAACAGAAATCAGCAAGTTAATACAAATTAGTATTAACATTACAGAGTGCTCATATAAAGTCAGATTACTGGCCTGAACTAAATTTTACCTACATGCACACTCTAGCAGCTCTCCAAAGTTCTTTGACAAAAAACATTATTCACTGGCAGCATCTTGGCGAGACAATGGGTAGAATAGTGTCAATTGCCCTTGAACTTTGAGAGAAAAGAGGACGTTATTAACTATAGAAAAGGCTGCCCAGCCACCCTGATGTCTGAATCCAACCTTTGATTACATCAGAACCTTACTGAACTTCATTTTATTCCTATAAATGCTCAAGCATGAATAGAACAAAAATTAACAATATAGACTTAGTACAAGCATAACAACGCAACAAAAATTTTACTGTCTTAATCAAGGAATTCCTAGAAAAGGTTTGGATTCAATTATTTAGTCAGGAAAAAATGGCTTTTCTGGAAAAAAAAATCCTCTCCATTTTCATTATGTAGTCAATAAGAAAGAGAAGCAAATTTTTTAATTTGGTAGTGGTGGATGAGGGGGAGCAACTTTTTATTTAGTATTCCTATGCTAATCATATCATCAGAGGAAAAACATCCATATATAAGACCAAGTAATATCTTCGTTAAAAGCTGGAGCACAAATTAACTCCTGGTTAATATTTGCACACACCACTTTGTTAGTATTTTGTCAACAAAATGGAAATGGGTGGTCTTGTCTTCTTCCAAGACAGGTTTAAAAAAAAAAAAAAAGTTTGAGGTTTTGGCTCTGGGATTTCCTGCAGATCTCCCTTTCAAGTCCTAAGCAGGCTGTTTAATTTTTTCCCAAGATTAGCCAAGTGCTGCCACCTGCTGTGATAATTTCTTTACTAGGACTAACCCAAAACATGTAGAAGCCTCCAAGTTCTCTCTAGAACTCTTCGGGGAGGTTTTGATGAATAGAAAACCCTGTATATCCATCATTTAGCTTGGCCTAATTACAGCATTACCCAGCTAATGAGTTTGAATTATTTTCCCCATAGACCAACAGCTTCTCAGAAAAAGAGACGCTGGGCGTGTGAAGAAAAGGCAGTAAGAGATGCGATTCCAGCAATTAACTGAACCTACCTCGACCTGGTGTCTTCCAACAGCCTTATGGAAATCGTTGTTTTAACATGTTTGCAAGCCATCTAGGAGGGAGGGAGGGGGTGAAAAGGAGCCCAAGCAATGCCTGATCAACCCAACACGTGCAAGCCCTTCGGATTCCGACAGCGTAGAAACAACGCCGCGCGTCTTGTGGACTTCAGCTGCGAACCATCACAGCACTCAAAAGGAAAGAGGACGCGACCGGCAGCCCGCGAGATGTGCGGACATGACTGAGGTTTCCGTTGGCAGCGGAGCCGCTGTTTAAGGCTCAGACACTAGTGGATACATGCAGCAAGGGGCGTCAGGCCAGCGTCGTTGAGGCCACGGACCTCCGGATCCTCCAAGGCAGAGGCAGCACCCGGGGCTCCAGCAGCTCGCTTTGCGCGCCTCCTAAGCGGAGCAGCTCAGCCACAGCCTCCAGGCAGCGCGAGTCCACATCACGTGACGCCCGTGATCCCAGCAGACGCCAGGCCCTCCTCTGCCTCATTGGAGTCTTACCCACCCCGCTCCCGGCCCTCCGTCATGTGGTCCCGCGGAAATGGCGAGCTTCGTTCTGTTTCAAAGAAGCAGGCGCCAAAATGTCCGTCTCTCGGAGTCCAAGGGGAGTAGGATCGTGGAAAGCTTCCTTCTAGAATGCAAATCATAAAATGCAGGATAAAATAGGAAAAGGTGTGAATTTAACACGCGCGGATCACAGGGTTAGATGTGAAGAGAGGAAATTAGGAGCTAAATACAGTAGCACCCACCCTTAAAATCCTGAGCAAAACGTCATCCAAAAACCTATTCCTCCGCCTGGGTTGTTTGCGAAGTAACTTAACTGCAAATTAGCCGTCTGCAAATTGTGGGTCTGAAGCAGGGGTGAAATTCAGCAGGTTCTGACAGGTTCTGGAGAACCAGTAGCAGAAATTTTGAGTAGTTCGGAGAACCAGCAAATACCATCTCCGGCTGGCCCCAGAGTGGGGTGGGAATGGATATTTTGTAATATCCTTCCCCTGGAGTGGGGAGGGAATGGGGATATTGCACTCTCCTTCCCTTGCCATGCCCACCAAGCTATACCCACAGAACCAGTAGTAAAGAAATTTGAATTTTACCACTGGTCTGAAGCCTTGGTTTGTCTTATAATTTGGCCCGTGACCTATTTTCGGTATGAAACACTCAAGGCGAGGAATTTAAGGGCCACCGTTGAGGGCAGACGGATCGCAGGTTCGCCGAATCTAACCTGAATTTTGTTTTGTTACTACCTCCCCCGTTTACCGGTGATACACATGGTTGAATTGGGTTGAAAGAATAGATGAGCACGTATTCAGACCAGAAATTGAATAGTATGAGGGAAGTGTTTTATTTTAATAATATCCATGCGAAATTCTACAGTAATTCCCAAATTAATTTTATTTCTCTTACTGTCTGTTATCCTTCAACCAAAACCAAAGATCCATTGAGCTAGACCAGTGGTTCCCAACGGGGGGCCCACACCCCACAGAGAAGCAATTTGATTTTTAATGAGGGCAATTTGAACCTTGTTTAAACCAAGTTAATGGCCTTTTAGGCTTCCTCCTTGTGAGTAGAGTTCCCTTTTTGAGTAAAGTAAGAATTATATGTCACTGGGGGGAGGGCATCAGAATTTTAAAAATGCTTAGGTGGGGCATGGCCAAAAAAAGGTTGGGAACCACTGGGCTTGCCTGGACAAACACTGGCAGTCTTGAAGCACTGCCCTTACGCATCTAGCATAACACATAACTCTTCTGAGGATATTCCATTACTTTGCTTGACCTCATCCATCCATATCTACTGACTTCCATTCTTTCAATCACACAAAAATATTTTCTTCAGCCTATCCTCTTGCATGAGACCAAAGCATGTTTTTCTTCTTGATGATCATCACCTCAGTAAACCATTTAACCTTTATTTGGTCTAGAAATTGTCCTTGCGCTTAAAAGTTTGCAGTACTTTTAGGAACTATGTCCAATGCTTAAAGTCTGAGACATCTCATTTCACTATAATTTGTAGCTTTGGTCAAACATGACTGGTGGCTCACGTACCATACTTATAATGCGGTTTATGTTTGATATATGTGAATCTATTGGGATTATTCAACAAATGCTTATTTAAAAATGCTTACTTAGTAAAATAAAAATCACAACACAAATAAAGAACAAATGCTGTAATCTCAACTGCAAAAACCAAAATGCAAACCTTTTCCTAAATTCTATCATTTGACTTTTTAGAAGTAAAGAATCCTTCATTTCTATATACAAATGAAGCATGTTTTCATGCACGATTACTATAGTGAGATTATTCCATGCACAAAGATCGACAATTCACAATGAAATAATAGTTGGTGAAAATGATGGAACTTGCTGAGATGGCTAAATATTTAATATGATCAGAGATACATCTACATTTATTGCTGATTGGAATCCTTAGACTTTATTGTGAAACTGAAAAAATCCGCCTGCTCTGGCCTACTGATTCTTGGCTTTCTTGTGGCCTGCACAGCACATCGGGATTGCCTGCCTCCGCCTGCTGCTTGGACTGGTTAATCAATTCACCTGTACTGTGCAGGCTGCTAGTGGCCACCCCCACCCCTCTGGGCTGATGATCTTTACTAGGGCTTATTTTTTGGAAGGGCTTATATTGGTGCACACTTTAAAAATCAGGCTAGGGCTTATTTTTGAGGAAACATGGTACTTAGATGTAGTAATAAGACAAAAGGACACATTTATCAAGATTATTATTTTTATTTCTTAAGGTCTAGCCAAACAAGGTGCAGATTCAGTTCTGATCCATCCTTGAAGAATAAAAAGTCGAATGACATTCAAGATGCCTGGTTGTAAAGTTCAGGTCTCTTCTTCTGCAACACAAAGACAGATCAGAATGGAAAATGTCTTTCTATCCCCAGCCACAGAGAAAAAAGCCTTAATTTTTGCAGTTTGCATATATTCCACAGTAGTAATTTCTGTATGTAAAGATAACTTTCTGTACAGTAGAAACCCTCATCAATTATTTGACAATCAAATGGCAGCAAAGTTTTTAGCAAAAAATTCTGAAATTTCCCCAATTGTTTATATACAGCTGAAATCAGAAAAAAAGATAGAACTGGTTTTTTTTAAAAAAATATGATTAATATTGTCAGGTATGAAGAACCAGATCCACACATGCAGAGTTCAAGCTAACTACTTAATCACTGAAATTAGATAAGGCTCTAAGAAATTTAGGGAGGGGCCAATTCTGGTTCTGGCCCTTTTACAGTTGTGCAGTGATTCTAGACTAGTTCTGCACTTATCCCTCCTACTTGTCAGGCTGGCTGCTTCTCAACAATATTCAGTGCCACACACATTATTTTAAATTCTTGACTAAGGAAACTAGATACCATACTGAATGTCTATCTAGATTCTCTTAATTATTTATTTCCCATTACTATTTGAAAATCACAGGATGCTGTTCCATTTTGGATAATAGCTTAATTTAACCCTTTTTAACGAATGGACTAAATTCTGCAAAATATATAATTCAATATACTGATACAGCATGCTATTAATAATTTTATCATGTAAAAGAGGCTGGTGGTAGAATGATAGAAATTAGCCTCTCAAATAACTTATTTTGAAATAAGACTTTTACAAACTACAGCCTTAATTGGATGTATCTCAAACAGGCACCTCTAGCAAGGCAAGCTTCCAAAGATCATTATATGAAAACACAATATGCTTTGATAATATGAAAGTTTGCATTTTTTTTGTTTTTTTAAGAGAGATTTTCTGTTACTATTTTATTTAAAGTATTTATTTTTTGTACGTAACCTAAACTTTTGCATTTAATAGTACCAAAATGCGGGCTTGCTAAATCTCCAAGAAAACTCAACTTCTATCCCTAAGATATTAAGCAACAAGGAATGGTTGAGAGTTTTATTCTCTGAAACATCCAAAAGCAGCAGCTAGATGTGGAAAATAAAGTGATTTAGTCCCTTCCAAACTGTGGATGAATTATTCCAGGATGGAGAAGAACCCCAATATACTGAGAATTCTGCAAGAGAACTACTACTCAGAATATATTAAGAGTTTTTATTCCAAATCTGCCCAATTTCTTTCAAAGCTATTTTTCTCTGAGATTCAAACTCCATTTTGAATGAGCTACCCACTTTACATTCTTCACACTTAATCTTTAAAATGTAATTCTTTTTATCTAAGCATTTATCTAGTCCAACCTTTAAAAAATGGTAAAAATACTATTTTAAACAAATATTTTTGAAGGGTAGATGTGTCTATTAATGTGCTACAGAAGGCCTGGGGCTCTACAATATGGATATAATAACATGGCTTAATGTATCCTAGTATTTCCTGTAGCAAAATTAGAATGCATTTTGCTTCTTTTGGCTTTGCTATTTTAATTCTGGTTGAGACAGAAGGTGAGGGTAGCAAATATCAGTTGAAAGTAGTAACTGCTACATCACAGAAATCTATTCTAGTCAGATGGGTTAAGTTTTGGTTGTGAAAGTAAGTTTAAGAGTAGTTATTTATCTAGCAGTCTTCCAAAAGAATTACCTTCTTCTTCTTCCTCCTCCTCCTCCTCATCTTCATCTTCATCAGAGCTGAAGGTGCCATCAGGCAGGCTATAAACCCGGATAACTTGCTTGTTGGGATCCTTCAAGATAAGGTACTTGCCCTCATCTAGTTTCATACAGATGTCAATGACACAGCGCAGAATGCCCCAGGCGTTCTCCATGATTAAATTAATTTGGCTTGCAAATTCATTAGGTTTGAACTGCTGTGTGCCCAGAATCACATGGCGTGAAGAATCTTTCACATGGTATCGGGAGACATATCTAAGCAAGGATGAAGAGACAAAAGTTAAAAAGTGCAATGATGTAGTCCAACCTACTAGAAAAAAGGAAGATTTCAAGGTTAATGATTATTTGACTCAGCTAATTCAGTATGGCTACTAACAGACTATTAACTGCTAGTTGCATCTAAAACCCAATCAGCCCTTAATTCATCACTATAGTATCACTGTATAAGTAGCATTTCTTCTGTATATAACATTACATATTCTAAGATTATCAATAACTGAATTGATAATACAGATACAACTTTGCTATGTTCTGTTTCTAGTAAGGTTACAGCTGATACACCTGTACAAAACCTTTCTTGACTATGATCTCCACCTGCCTTTTAAGAAGGACCCATAAGGCCAGGACGACCCTAGATTATTTATTTGTATCACCTTAATAATTTTTTGCAAATAACTCAAGGCAGTGAACATATCCAACACATCTTTCTTTTCCTATTTTCCTCCCCAATAGCAACCTTGTGAGATGGATTGGACTGAGTGTGTGTGACTGGCCAAAGTCATCCAGCTGGCTTTCATGGCTAAGGCAGGACAAGCTCACAGACTCCTGCTTTCTAGCATGGTGCCTTAATCACTAGTCTGGCTGAGACT